CCGTTTGTCTATTACTTTCTATCTACACTTTCTGTGGGTTTGTTATCTGATCAGTTCTAGGACCTCACAAGACTTCAAGTTTTCGGGGTTCGCCACGTTATATGTGAATCTTTGACAGGCAGGGCACTACACAGGTTTGCAAGTTTGCTGTTAAACTATTTCTGGACCAAAATCCGAGCTGCTGTTGTCGATGCACATGGGCTAAATGTTTAAAAAATTTCAAAACACAAAAAAGTCATTCAGAAGGTTGTTGCAACCAAAAAAAAATAATTGGTTCATCCTTTCAAGGATTGTTTATGATTAAGTTTTACGCAGTGTCTCAAACCTGTTGGATGACTGTCTTCCCTCAGTCCTTTTAGAATGGGAGTAGTGGTATCTATATCACAGTAAAAGCGCAGACTAACTCCTACTGCTCAAGGATTACTAAGAGGGGGAATGAAATATTTAAGATTACTTGCTGTCATCTCCAAAGTTTGCTGGTAGATGTTGTTACTGTTTCACACAAAGCTTCAAGGCTGTTTACTAGCTGGACTCATCTGTGCTTAAGAAAAGAAGGAAAGTAACACCTGTTTCTCTTTGGCTGGCACACAGCAGATGATGCTCTTCTTAACACACAAGAAAATAATGACAACATTACTCCACCACAGGAAGAATCTCACTGAGAAATTCAACCATTACTTTCATCTCAAAGAAACATAGAATCACAGCATATATTGGGCTGGAAGGGACCTTCAAAGCTCATCTAGTCCAACTCCCCTGCAGTGAACAGGGACATCTTTAACCAGATCAGGTTGCTCAGAGCCCCACCAAGCCTGACCTTGAATGTCTTCAGGGATGGAGCCTCTTGTCCTATTGCAACAGGCCTTGCTACAAAGATTGCCCTTATCTTTTTTATAGGTTCCCTTTAAGTACTGAAAGGCTGCAATAAGTTCTCCCCAGAGCCTTTTCTTCTCCAGATTGAGTAACCCCAGCTCTCTCAGCCTGCCTTCATAGTAGAGGTGCTCCAGCTCTCTGGTCGTTTTTGTGGTCTCCTCTAGACACACTCCAACAGGTCCATGTCCTTCGTGTGTTGAGGACTAACCTGAGAGAAGGTCCATCACTCGGCATCGCTCTGAATGCTGAATGTAAATGTCATGTAAGACCACCCCAGCCACGAGTGGTCAGCCCACACCAGCCACGAGTGGTCCAGCCAGGGGTGGTCCTGGCCAGCTGCATGGCAGCATTACGCCAGGTGGATGTCACCCCAGTGGCCAGATCCCACAAGTGGGCAGGCTGAGACAAAATCCCACATACCCCATGCCAAACCACCGACACCTGTCACCAAGATTTTCGTCGGGAGACGGACTTTTGGGGAAATTTCCCCGCTTTCGTGGCACCCTTTATGCACTCCCATGACGAAATCGCGACAACCATGGTAAGTCAGATTCCAGCCCTCCCGGTAGCGAGCCCCCCGGGCAGGGCCTGCGAGCCTCTCGCCGACGGGACC